CCGCAGGCTCCGCAGCCCTGGGCCAGGGCGGTTCCGGGACGGTTCCGGGAGCCGGAACTCGGCCGCCCCGCGCTCGGTGTTCACTCCGATAAGATCAGGTTCTAAGAAGCACCCAGGCACTGAACCCTAGCAATCTGTCTGCAAGCCGCAGGCTAATTGCAGCCTGAAATTACCTGTTCTATGGCTGAATGAGCTGCGGTCAGTCGAAAACAGGGATGGTGACATCAGCTTTCCAACATGGTGGCTGCTGGCCTCCTCTGTGGTCTGACCGGTGTGGAGAACCGAGATGGACCGCTTCCTTCCCCCGTCTCGAACCCAGAATTCAGCCCTGAGTACGGTGCTTGCACGGCTGGCAGAAACTGCAGCGCTGTATCCCTGCGTCGCTATCTCCTCGTTGCCCAGCGCGCGCTGCAGACTCTAGCTGCGGGGCAATTTGCTGAATAAGCAGTGTTACCCTCCGTGCGACAAACCTCTCGCGTTTGAGTCCCCGTAGCCGATCCTCGTGCGATGGAAATCCTTCCTCCAGGTTCCGGAGCACCCCACTATTGCTGGAAATTCCTAACAAGATATCCTTTAGCCGTCCTGACTTGTCATACTCCCACACAGTGAAGCAGCACACGGGGGCAATGCACTCCCCTCGCCGCCATCTTCCTTGATATAGTTTTAGAATATAGATGAGCATCTGTGGAGTTATAAAAGTGCTGTCCAGACTAGTTACTCTGATTCTGTTTGGATTCAACAATGCTAGAAACTAAGAGAGGGAGAGGCAGAATGTATTTTCTGCTTTCTAGTAAGTTTTTAATAAGCTATACAAATGAAAAAAATATGGGTATAAGATAGAAAAGGTGAGAGTAGAGACAGTGATCCAGATGAGTATGGAAAAGAACTTGTATATATAACATGAAATTTATAGATATTGACTGTGTATAGTCATAAGAATCACTGCAGTGGGTACAAATATAGGTCAGGTGATGTTTGCTGTCACTAAAGTTAACCACGGTATAACTTATCCAAAGTGTGTGGGACCAGAAGTATTTTAGAGTTTTTCACATTTTGTAGTATATGCATAGGCTTTACTGGTTGAGCATTCCTAATTAGAAAAATGAAAGGCTCTAAAATCTGAAATGTTTTCAATGTCATATTAACATTCAAAAGGTTTCAGAATGATATCCTAAAAGTTTTGGATTTCAGAACATTTTGGGTTTTGTATATTAGGGGGATCTGTATCCAATAGATAAATGACACTTTGTTACTTTTCATGGATTCTTTGGTTTTTCCACCACATTATCACATAGGAGTCTCTAAAAATAGCTTTAGTATTATTCTTTGTCAATAAATTTACTTTATTGAAAATAGAATTGTCAGAATTACCGAAAGAATAAAGAAATAAAATATTGATTTTTTAAAAATTAAGATAAAATTTTTTAGACTCCATATATGACAAAGAATGTGAGGTATTTCTTGATCTTTCTGTGCCTAAACTTATTTAACTTAATGTCATGATCTCCAGTTTTATCCATTTTGTCACAAATGACAGGATTTCATTCTTTTTTTTTAACCGAATAGTGTTCACTTTTTATATGCACCACATTTTCTTTTTGTATTCATCAGTTGATGGACACTTAAGTTGTTTCTGTTTCTTGCTTGTTGTAAAGAGTGCTGCATTGAACTTGGGAGTGCAGATGTCTCTTTGACCACTGATTTCATTTCCTTTGCATATATACCCAGTAGTGGGATTGCTGGATCATACGACTGTTTTAATTTCTTTTCTTTGTTGTTGTTGTGGTACTGGGGATTGAACCCAGGGCCTTGTGCTTGTGAGGCAAGTACTCTATCAGCCGAGCTATATCCCCAGCCCCATGATTGTTTTAATTTCTGAAGGAAATTAAATTTCCACAGTGGCTATACTAATTTACATTCCCACTAATTTATTTTCTCATAGAATTTGAGAATAGAATAGTAGTTAACAGAGGCTAAGAGGCAGTAAGGGGGAGATAGGATAGGGAAAGGTTGGTCAGTTAAGTCCTGGTGTTCTGTTATACAGTAATGTGTCTATAGTTTAAAAATAATGTTTTCTATATTTCAAAAGAGCTAGAAGATTCGAGATCATTTTGGATATTCCAATACCATAAAGAAATGACAAACGTTTAAGATCATAGATATGCAAACTACCCTGATTCAATCATTACATGTATCCAAAGATGATATTGTACTCCAAGGATATGTGCAATTATATATCAATCAAAATTAAAACTTAGGAATGTAAAATAAATTAAGATATAATTCACATAACATAAAACTCATCCTTTTAAAGTGTACACTTTGGTGTTTCTTGGTATATTTCAAAGATCACCATAACAATCAAACTGTTTTAGAACAGTTGCATCCCCCCAGAAAGAAACACCATACCCATAAACAGTCATAATTTAATCTTCTTTTCCTCTTTTCTGGGCCTTGGCAACCAATAATCTATTTTCTAATTCTGTAGATTTGATTTTTTATTGATGGAATCATACAATATGTGGTTTTTGTGACTGGTTTCTTTTACTTGCATAGTATAATTTTAAGGCTCATCCATTTTATAACAATACTTTATTCATTTTTATGGCTCAATACTATTGTATATGACAAATTTATATGGATATACCACATTTTGTTAATTTAGTCAGTACTTGATAGACACTTGAATTGTTTCTACTCTTTGACTATTAGTAATAATGCTGCTATAAACATTCATGTGCAAGTTTTGGTGTACAGATATTTTCATCTTTCTTGGGTATATGATCTGAATCGTATGTGTGACCTCTCAAGAAATTGCCACATTGTTTTATCAAAATGGCTGGCTGCATTGTTTTACATTCCCACCAGCAATAGGTTAGTGTTTCCTCGACAACCCTTCTCTAATATTTGTTGGGGAGTGAACCCAGGACCTTGAACATGCTAGGAAGCTCTGTATCCTCCCTATCCCTTCCTTCCAACATTTATTATTTTAATCTATTTTATTCAAGCTGTTTTAGAGAGAAGGGGGATCACATTGTGGTTTTCCTTTGCATTTCCCTAATAAATAATGATGTTGAACATCTTTTCGTATGCTTATTGGCCATTTTCATATCTTAAGAAAAATGTATGCTCAAATACTTTGCCCATTTGTAATTAAGATATTTGTCTTTTCATTGAGTTGTAAAAGTTTCTTTCTATGTGAGTATCCATCCCTTGGCAGACACAATTTCTAAACACTTTGGCCCATTCTCTGTGTTTTCTTTTCACTTTTCCATTTTGAAGCATAATCATTTCCATCTTGGTTTTGCAATCACATCCAGGGTGTCTTTTTCTGTTGTGGGCGTTAACATAAGTGTCAAAATGAAGAAAAATAATTTGTGTAATGAAAGTGTTATATGTGTGCATATTCACAAAATAAAGGTGTATTCCCAATCTCATAAAGTTTACTGAACCTCAGTGTGTTCTTATAAGTGAATATTTTTCTGTCCAATGAGTCATTTTAAAAATTTTATTAAAAAAATATTTATTTTAATTAGTTATATATGACAGAATGCATTTTGATTCATTGTACACAGTTGCAGCACAACTTTTTATTTCTCTGGTTGTATACAACATAGTATTGTATCATATGTGCAGTCATACATGTACCTAGGTAGGGTAATGTTGTTCATCTCATTCCACCATCTTTTCTGCTCCCATACCCCCTCCCTGCCTCTCCCCACCTTTGCCCATCAAAGTTCCTCCCTTTTTTCCCATGCCCTCCCTGCTTTATGGATCAGCATCCACTTATCAGAGAGAACATTCAGGCTTTGTTTTTTTGGGATTGGCTTACTTCACTTAGCAAGATATTCTCCAACGCCATCCATTTATCTACAGATGCCATAATTTTATTCTCTTTTAATGCTAATACTCCATTATGTATATATACCACAGTTTCTTTATCCATTTATCTATTGAAGGGCATCTAGGTTTCTTCCACAGTTTAGCTATTGTGAATTGAGCTGCTATAAACACTGATGTTGCTGCGTTACTATAGTATGCTGATTTTAAGTCTTTTGATTGAGGAGTGGGATAGCTGGGTCAAATGGTGATTCCACTGTAAATTTTCCAAGAAATCTCCATACTGCTTTCCAGATTGCTTGCACCAGTTTGCAGTCCTACCAACAATGTATGAGTGTGCCTTTTCCCTCACATCCTCACCAGTACTTATTGTTGTTTGTATTCTTGATAACTGCCATTCTGACTGGCATGAGATGAAATCTTAGTTTCAATTTTCATTTCTGTAATTACTAGAGATGTTTAACATTTTTCATATATTTGTTGATCGATTGTATATCTTCTTCTGAGAAGTGTCTATTCAGCTCCTTATCCCATTTAGTGATTTTTGTTATCCCCCCCTAACTATAATTCTCTTTTTTCTTTTTTAAATCCAACAACTTATTATGAATTTTTTTTCAGGGATATGTTATGGATGCATATTCCCTCTTTGCCAGTCATATTTGCTTTCTTGGATAATAATAATCCTAAGCAATTTGTATGTGTGTATTTGCTTTTGCTATCAAGTTAAACAAATAGCTTTGGTAGGGCAGTATAATGTATATCTATGCTCTAAACTGCCAATTTATTCTGTGGAATAGTTTAAAAATACCTTTTTCTCCCTGTTTACTGATTGACTTGGTAGTAATATAAACCTTGGGTGCATGGTAAAATTTATGCAAGGTTATGGAATCTAGAGTGAAAAATAATAGTGAAGTATCCAGAAAAAAAAGAGTTTTGTTAGTTATAGCAGGAAGTATTTATTTAAGAAGTAGATTTTGTTAATATTTGTTATTATGGTATCTTAGGGTAAAAAATAATAGTGAAATATCCAGAAAAAAGAATTGTTAGTTACAGAATGACTTAATATTTTAAGACATAGACATCATTAATATTTATTCATCACTTTAGAAATGCTTAGGCAGAAATTTATCAATGCTCACAGTGAATGTTCTTTCTAACAGGAGGACATGAACCTTAATGAAGAAAAAAAAGCTCCTTTACGAAACAAAGATTTTACCACCAAGCGTGAGATGGTTGTCCAGTATATTTCTGCTACTGCCAAATCTGTAAGTAGAGAAACTTTCCTGGTACCAACAGAATGAGCTTAAGCATTATCTACTTGAAAGATGAACAAACCTCAGATGTTCAAGTTCTTGCTGCAATGTATTCAGACTATTTAGGAAACAATTTGTGTTTGATTTTTATACATTTATATATTTCAAAATGTATATATTTAAAAATGAAACTGTTCATCTTTGGAAATGAGAAGCTGTCATTATTATAAACAAGAAAGCTTAGAAAGGACAGCAGGCTCTTGAAGTAATTCAGTGAGTTTCAGGGCAGAGGCTTTGTGCAATTACTAAAAATTGACAGCATTTTGCAGGTATTTCACTTAATGTATGGATTGTTAGATAAAAATTTTGTATTTTGGGGGAGAATATAAGAAACAACATAGTCATCTTTAATTAAGTTGACTTTAAAGCTACATGTCTGGTGTCTGCTTGCATGTAATTTTTAGCAATGCTTTTTAATATGCAGTGTTGTTGGCTTTTTTCATCATTTATATAATGCAAACTGTGTAAGCTGCCTCATAATTGTTATTGTACAGCTTTGTTCAATATAAATGAAAGTGCTTAATAGGAACTTTAATCAAATCTGTGTGAGTTTCAAGACTTGAAAGTAGGTTTATTGAAAGGACTTGTTATCAATGGGAAAAACTTACTGTTTTAATAGAGTATTTTGTTTTTTTTTTCACCTCTTAAGGCACTTCCAAATTAAATCTTTGGGTTTAATTTTTTATGTAGAAACATGTATTTTTGAAAGGGCAAAATGTGTCTTTTACATGTCTATAAAGAAACAGCTTTTCATATCGAGAGATCATAAAATCAGTGGATGTGTATGTGTATGTGTGTGAGTGTGTATATACAGTGATTTTATCTGTAGGTATATGCATATATATGCATGTATACATGCACATTTAAAACATTCTACACTTGAAGAGTTGACAACTAAATTTCTTCATTGGAAAATTATATTCTAATGTTATTTGGCTATGCTATTAATGCTATTAGCAATTACTGAATTTTGCAATTGTATTGATTCTATATTGTACTTTAAGCAAGCTAAATCTGAATGCTGAACTATTTAAACATAACGCATTGCAGCTCTGCCAGAGCAGAGCAACAGCATGTTTTTTAATTTGCTTCTGGTATCCAAGGGCAGAAATATGTTTCAAGTGATAAGTGAAATTTGCCATGAGCGTCGTTTTCAATAGAATTAGGTGATGCATAGGGTTTTACTTTGAAATTCTGATGAATCTCTTCTCATTTTTGCACTCAAGTTATTGTTCACAGTAAAATGCTTTAGGAAATGCAGGGTGTACATTTAGTGTTATTTTTTAAATACCTAAAGGCAAGTATGCTAGTAAATCTATATAACTAAATCTGAATGCAAAGTACAGATAATACTATATGACTAGTCATATGATATTTTTAATGATAGGATTTTGTTAGTGTCTCTGGCTTATTTGGGTCGTTGTTTGTGTAAGTGGGACTGACGATAATGGAAATTATATATAAATGATGCTCTTCTACTTTGACCTTTTGATTAGTATCTGATCTGTATGAAGAAGTTGTTTGTATTTATTCTCATAGTCTCCTCTTCAAGTGATCAAGGAAATGCACACCTTAAGTTATATACTCATTTTTCAGATTAAAATGCAGATTTGTTAAATATTAGATGAGCTCATTCAATCTGCTTTTTTCAGAAGATGGAAATGGAATGTTCTCAAAAGACATGAAAATTTCATGTTTAAGTCACCAGCCTCAAAACCAGTACTACTGAGTATTTGTCCTTATTTGTTTCATTCAGAATAACTATGAGCACCTCATATATGCATAGCACATTCATAACATTTCCAAGATTATATTTGTTTTTCATGGACCAAATATTATGATGGAAGAAAGCCTGTTGACAAGTATGTTTTGAAGCTTTCTCACCTTGGGGAAACATTAATTAGTACTGTTTTCTATCATTAAAACTCTGAAAATTATTTGTGTTATTTCTTTTTTAAAGGTGAGAGGGATGTGTATGTGTGTGTGTGAGTGTGTATATGTGAAAAACAATATTCTAATCCCTTGACCTTTTCATGATCAGGACAATAAAATTTGCACCAATTATTACTGAATGTATGACTGTTTTCCCACATGTAACCAGGCTTCCTTCCCATCCTGCTGTCTTTCATTAGGCTTTGGTTGTGCTTTGTATGTCTTGTACTTTTTTTACCCTTACTTTTGCATTATATTGATGCACTCATTAAAAATGTTTACTTGTTTAGGGCTGGGGATGTAGCTCAATGGTAGAGTGCTTACCTAGCATGTGTGAGGCTCTGGTTTCTATCCCTGGTATGGGGGGAAAGGTTTCCTCATTTAAAGCAAAGTTAAGGGCTAGAGTCCCTGATAGAAAAATGTTTTAGACTCAAGTGTAAAACATGGCAATTAAAAATCAAACATAAATTGTATATTTTCCCATTTAGTCATCTGCATTAGTCCTTTGGTATGGGATCTAAAACCAAAAGAACAAAATGTGAGCTCAGTGAGAAATGTCCATTATGCTCCTTGGGTTCTTGGGTAAGGACATTAAAGAGAGATGAAGCAATATACAGAAATATAGTCAAAACCTGTTTCTAAAGCAAACAAGACTCTTTTGTTGTATAATTAACTTTATTAAAATTAACATGGAATAAGAGAATATTAAGGAAATCACAAGGTAATGATGTAAACCGTGACTTAGTTTTTTTTCTTAATTCATAGTAGAGAAAAACCATATGAGTGTTATAGGAAAAAGTACCTTGAGTAACTCTGTAATGAGTGAACTCCAAATAGGTGGGTAGAGAAGAACCACTTGTCTGCATTTATCTCCTATGAGTTGTACTCTTTTTTTTTTTTTTTTTGTTGGTGGGAACCGAACCCAGGGGTGCTCAACCACTGAGTCACACCCCCAGCCCTTTAAAAAAATATCTTATTTAGAGATAGGGTCTCACTAGGTTGCTTAGGGCCTTGCAAAGTTACTGAGGCTGGCTTTGAACTCCTGCCTCAGCCTCCCGAGCCTCTGGGATTACAGGTTTGTGCCATTGGCCCATCATGAGTTGGACTCTTTGATTACTGTAGGAAGTGTGGTTATGGACTGACCTAGGCTAGCAGTATATGTGGATGATTAAGCCACAGATAACCTGGGAGACACTCTATTTTCAAAACATGAGCATGTTTTTAAAAATGGAAAACTGTGCTTTGTTAATATTGCAGAAATTGTCCTACCGATTCATAATCCTGAAACAGGCACAACATGTTGGAGATTTATAGAGGGTTTTACATATATTTAACAGCATATTTTGACACTTAGGAAAAGTTATTCACTGAAGTCTTAACATTAGTTTGCCAAATGCTAGTGACTTCATTAGAATACCAAGAATTTAGTTTATTTCTAATTTAAATCAGTCTTTGAAGTTGAGATTTTAGAATATGTGAGATTATATTTTTGAAGACATAGGAACCTTTGAGAAGAATCATTGATTTAAAAAAATCTCAGAAATAATTTAAGAAGTGAAACCAACTGTATTCACAGATTTGCTAGACTTACTTATATAACAAGTACTTAAAAGTTGTAGTGCATCTGTATATGCGTGTGTGTATGCATTTATTATAGTTTTGCTTTTGTCATTATCAGAGACTTTCTTTCTTGGGTCATTTCCAGCTATGGTCTGGATATGATGAAACAATTAAACCCAGACATGACCAAACTAGTTTATCTTAGCTTCCCTTGGCTAATCAATCTAATCTAATGCTGTATGTGCTTTAGCTAAATGCAGTCATTTTGCAATCTAAATGAATCATTAAATGGGCCATATTGTGGTTGTTTCACTGAGTATAGACCTGCCTTAATTGTTGAGACAGGCTTGCCTTCTCTTTTTAGTCTTATGTCTGTGCTAAATAGACAAGGGACAAATACAACCTCTGTCTTTTTTGGTGGGAGGAAATAATTTAGGTCAATAGCATATCTTTCAATTCAGAAGAGTGTTAATGGCACCAAAGAGGCTTTTATTCAACTAAATAATCACTGACTGTAAATAGTCTGTTGAATGAATATTTAAGAAACATGCTTCTCCATTTGGAGATTCTTGGATTCCTCTGAAATAATTTACTTGGAAACTGTCATTATCTTTTTGCATCTTGTCATATCGTGTTTCATTTGGGATTCTTACTGGGGTTGCAATTAAATTTGATTTTTATTTTTAAAGCACTGGCTGAAAAATAGAATGCATCTTGATAATAACCGCTATCAGATTAATGGTTTTAGATTGTGGATTAGTTTTTTTTTTTTTTTTTTGGACACTGCTTGATATTCAAATGTGGGAATCTGATAACAGTGATTTGATTTATATTTGGATTTTGGCATAAAATTATGTTTAGGACTGTGAGTTTACTTCTTGTTTTCTTAAACACATCTTTTCCTCTCAGATTCTCTTATCTCTTATCTAAAGCTCAATATTGAGATTTTTGGATTATTTCCTCCCAGTGAATATAAGCATTTATATTTATATATAAAATCTTCATTGTCCTCACATTATATAGAAAACTCTGATTTTATAATAGAAATTCTAGGATGACCTAGAAAACTAGAATAATAAGCAATCTTTCCTTGTAATTTTCAAGTATAAGATAAAACAATAGTATAACCCTTAAATTTATAACAGATAAAATGTTCCAATTTTCAACCTAAAGTTTACTTCTGAACTTAATGCATGACTTTAAATGTGACAGTTTGTTTTAAAACACCTTATTTTAACCTTAATAGTATACTTGTCATAACAAAGAAAGAAAAAAGGGCAATATTTGAAAAAAAAATCAATTTTGTATTGATAATTTTTTTGAGGGGCTGTGAGCTGATTCCAGATTGCTATTAACATTGCATGACTTGATATTTAGATTGTATTATAAGAGAAGCTCATTAAAATACATTCAAAAATTCTCAAAATATAATTATCCTTTATTTTGGAATCCTTATTCCA